ATCAACTCAATGTGCATCATAGATTTAAATATAAAATATACATCTATAAAACTTTTAGAATATAACATAGGAGAGAACTTCAGGATCTGGGCTTCATGAAGAGACATGACACCAAAAGCACAAACCATAAAAAAATGAGTATATTAAAAACTTTTACTCTATGAAAGACCATGTTAAGGGAATGAAAAGACAAGCTATAGACTGAGAGAACGTATTTGCAAGCCCACATATCTGACAAAAGACTCAGATCTAGAATATATAATGAACTCTCAAAACTCAACATTAAAAAAGCAAACAATCCAATTAGAAAATAGGCAAAAGGCACAAAGAGTCTTATCACTGAAGAAGCTCTACAGTTATAGTAAATGAGCACATGAAAAGATGTTCAACACCATTACACATCAGGGAAATGCAAATTTAAACCACAAAGGGATATCATTACACATCTATTAGAATGGTTAAAATACAAATACCAAATGCTGATGAGAATGCAGTGAAACTGGATCTCTCATACATTGCCGGTGGGTATATAAAATATTAAGCCACTCTGGAAAACACTTTGGTGGTTTCTTATAAAATGAAACACACAATTATCACATGACGCAGCAATTACATTTACAGGCATTTAGTTTTCAGAGAAATGAAAACTTATGGCTGCAGAGAAACGTGTGCACCACCACTTACGCTTAGCACTCATCTATTCTATTTCACTGTATGTAACATCCCTTGTATGAATAACCACTAATCAAATTAGTATGCTGATGATAGGCATTTGGGTTGTTTTCACTTTTCAGCATTTCAGTAATGCTTTTATGAATATCCTTGTAGCTGTCTCCTTGAACACATGTGGGAGAATTTCCGTGGGATGTATATCTAGAAATGGAATTTCTGGATCATAGGTTGATATACATTTTCAACTATACTAGCTACTACCAAAAACTGCTCTCCAAAATTGTACTAATTTATGTTTCCTCCAACAGCGTATGAAAGTTCCAGGTGCTTTTTGTCTTTGCCTAGACTTGGGATGCCATACTTTAAAAATTTCCACCAAGCTAACGCTTGTAAAAGATGCAATTTCTGTTTCAACTTGGATTTCCCTAGTTATGTGTGAGGTTGAGCATATTTTTACCTGTTTATTGGCCATTAGGGTTTCCTCTTTTATGAACAACCTGAGCATATCCTTTGTTCATTTTTTTTCTATTGGAGTTTTGCCTTTTTCTTATTGTTATTATATATATAGGTTATATGTATATAATTAATATTAATTAATTAATCCTATGTCAGTTATATAAGATTCAAATATCTTTTTCTTAGTCTGTTACATATCTTTTCATGTTTTAATGCTCTCTTTTGCCTTCAGAAGCTTTAAACTTTCATGTAATCAAGTTTACCAATATTTTCCTATAAGATTTCTGCTTTTTGCATATTGGTTAAGAAAGTCTTTTTGTCACAAGGAATTAAAGAGAATCTCCTACAATTTATTTTAATAATTTTCAATCCTGTTCTTTATATGCAGGTCTTTAAAACATCTGGAGTTTATGTATGGTGTGAACTGGGGATCTAATCTAATTTTTTTCCATACGAAAGTTAATTGTCCCAATATCATCTCCTGAAGAGTCCATGTTTTCTTTACTTTATCCAATTAAACAAATACCCAAACCTACTTTGTGCTAGACATTGTTCTGAGCACTCTGCGTATAGTATTAAAAGCAAACGAAATATTATAATATTTAATGAAATATATATTCATTAAAGCTATTAGAATCTTCCTGCCCTTGTGGAGCTTATATTCTACTTTGGGTAGGTTTATAATAAACATAATAAATAGGCATATTATATAATATGCTGGAAGATGATAAGTGTTATAGAAAAAATAGAGCAGGGAAAAGAAAATCGGAGGGCTGGGCTGGGAGGAAGGTTGTGACTTTAAATAGAATAGTCTGGGTTGGTCTTGTTGAGAAGCTGATATGTGGGCAAAGCCGAAAGAAGTGAGGGAGGTGGCATGTGACTATTTGGGGCATAATAAAAGGTAATACTTACCTGATATTTGTGAATTTCACAAAAACTCCTGTTGGAGGTTTTCGTTTTTTGTTTTTTGGGGTTTATTTGCGGTACGCGGGCCTCTCACTGTTGTGGCCTCTCCCGCTGCGGAGCACAGGCTCCGGACGCACAGGCCCAGCGGCCATGGCTCACGGGCCCAGCCGCTCCGTGGCATGTGGGATCCTCCCGGACCGGGGCACGAACCCGTGTCCCCTGCATCGGCAGGCGGACTGTCAACCACTGTGCCACCAGGGAAGCCCTCTTGTTGGAGTTTTTAACTGGAGTTTTTTCATATCTATATAGATTACTTTGGGGAGGACTGATACCCTTACAACGTTGCATCTTGCCATTCATGAACATGGTCTGGCTCTACGTTTATTCACCGCTTCTGTTATGCACTTTATAGTTTTCTGGCCCCCATAAACCGTTTGTATATATTTCCAACCTCACTTCCTGTTCGCTTATCCCACTCTACTCTAGATGCTACTCACTGTGTTTCTGATAGGTAATGTAAACTAATGATTGTGTGTGTTTGTGTGTGTGTGTATGATGGATGATGGTCTTGTTTCCTGACCCTGATCCTAAACCTGAGTTTGATTAACCCAGACCACAGCCCTTCTCCTTCATGATTTTTGCAAGATACATATTCTTGTCCTGTCTCCTCAGTGAATCTTCAAGTCCTTCAGGGGCAGTGACTGATGTTATCTACTCTGCATCTTTCCTGTGGTACTGAGCACATTGTAATTACTCAAAAGATCTTACTGGTACATTTCCCACAATGGGGTTGCTGCACTTATCCTTCAATCCCTTCACGCCATTGAACCCTCAATCGTGACTCTCCCTTGATCTTCAAAGTTGACTTCCATAAAGAAAGATGTACGTTCCCCTGGACTTGTGCCTGAGCCTTTCACTTCTGCCAGTGATCCTTCTCCTCTGAGGAAGTGAGAGAAAAAGTTTTGGTTAGTAGCTGAGAATTCTTTGAGAAGAATTACGTTGGTGAGATAACCTAGTCCAGTTTTTGAAAAAGCTTTTCCCACAGAACATGTCTATGAGATGTTGTGGGGAAAAAAAAGATCCTGAGTTAAAAAAAAATAAAAAAGCAGGAAGCCCTTTATACTAAATTGCCTTCTCGGAGACTGGTACCATGTTTTAAGTATATTAAAGACCCTGAAAAGTTTATGATAAAGAAAACAAATTTTGTTTAGCCCATCACTTTTCAAACAAACATATTTGACCATGTAATTTTTTTCTCTTTTTAAAGAATACCTATTAACACCCACATACCTCACACTGGGAAACATTGATCTTGTTCACCCTCTGCTCTCTGGTATATATAAGGCAAACAAAGCCATCTATCCTAGACTGTCTTCTAAAGACATTTTGCTTCCACAGTAGTGTTAAAAAGCCTAGATCATGAGGAAATTTTCTCTAAGATCTATTCCAAATCCTTCATGTTTAAGTTTTATCATCCCATCCATTCTTATATCTTCACCAGAAATAAAATGATTTTGAGTTCTGATGCAAAATCAATTGCTGTGTATTTACAGAAAGCTTACTATGTGAAAGAAAAAAAAATTAAGACATTGGCTTTGCTGGACAAAAATGTTGCAGCCATTGGTTGGAATTTCCATATTTCTCTGCTTCTATTTCTTGATATTTTTCTGCCCTTGACTTGAATAACCCTGAGTTTTCAAGAGGTGGCCACAATGTAAGGCAGAAACAAATGGAAGAAAACAGGGCAGACACATGTTGTCCCCTGAGGTACTTATTTAGAAAAGAGGAGAGCAGCAGAAAAGTGTAGGGAGGACTTGACTGGGCAGGTTGCACACTTGACGCTGAACACCCCACTAACATAGATAGCTCAGGCTTTGCTGAGCTATCACCTTCCAGAGAAGAAAAATCATATATTTAATCCCATTTTAAGGCAGCTTACAGTAAAATACGTGCATAGCAAGAGCTTAACTATAAATCATCTAGCATTATCTCTAAAAAGTAGGGTTAATTATATTAGGAATCAGACATAAGATAATTCCTGAGCATGCTATTAGCTCTGAGCTTCCTGGAAGCCAAGCAAAAATTGAACCATGACTAGTTCAATACTGCTACATATTAATGCATGTAGCCTCCGTTGTGAATACGGTAGCCCACCCTTGCCTTACTCTTCTTTTGTCTTATAATTTGGCCTGATTTCTTGAATTCAATATGCGTGCTTCCTTGCCCTTTATAACATATTTGATATAAAGAAGCCAGTTAGTAACAAATAGGCAGTTTGAGGAAAGAGCTATTAATATTTATCTTGTAGCCATCAGACTCACTTCACACAGAAAAGTCTCTGGGTTAGATACGAAGTCTCAAATTCTCAAAGATGAACGCTGCAGATCCCATTAACAAAATTATTACACCAAGCTAAAAGGTCTTTGGGATCCGTCTTCAACTTCATCCTCCATGAAATTCCGGAATGACTTTCCCTTGTCTTGTCCCTTTCCTACTGCTTCTTAGTCAACTCCACTAACCTCATTTCCAAACAACCAGTTGTTGGATGCATGAACTAAAATGCCATAAAGAATTTGCATATTTGATTATTTTCTCTCAAGCTTAAATGAAGAGAGCTACAATTTCTAAGAAGCCTGGTTTGACTGTGAGTCTGGCCCCCAGGCAGATTAGGCCAAGGTTTTGGCCAAGTGAAATTGGCAGTTCCCTAGAAGAAAAGACTAGCACGTTGCTCATTAGAGCATTCTGAGCTTGCCTGTGCAATCTTTTTGCTACCCTGCAATTTCCTGTTGGTTATAAATGAAACCTTTCTAGCTGTTAATGCAGCCGGTGAGTTGAAAAAAAAAAAAAGCATGTAATTAATCAAAGGAGGTTGGGGGAGATTCACTAAGCTTGAGTTATAGGGGAGAATCTGGACAAGGCACTAGGACCTAGAAGGCATCTATCCACCCTGGCAGGAATTTCTTGCTTGGAGCTCAGACAACAAAGGCATAGAGAGATTGGTTTTCTTTCTCTCAGCATCTCCACCCAACCAGCAGAAAACCGGTGAGTGGGGCTTTCCAGTGATTTTCAGGGAGAATGTAACAGATGTCAAACGGGAAAAGCACAAGGCAAAGCTCTCTCTCTCTGCCTCTCTCGGTGTGTCCTCTCTCTCTCTTTCCCTCTTATCTCCCCCCTCTTTTTTTTTTTTTTTGGCCTTATTCTATCAGATTTTTTCCTAAGCCTCTACCTGGGATATTCCTTTAGAAAAGTGAGTTTGATGTTCCTTTGTTTGCACTGTGATGTTGATTTTAGAATAATAGCACCCCAGATTCTAAAGCAAAGCCAAGCGTTGCTGGCACGCCTGGGGAAATGCTTGCTACTTGTCTTGAGGAGGTGGGGTCTCTTACACTGCAGGTTGTCTGACAGAGACAATGCTGAGCTCAGCACAGGTCATGGTGACATTGGGAGAATAGAGGGAGCAAGCCTGGCAAACCTGCTAGGCACCAGTCTTCCTTTATCTCCTGTCTTCCTGGTCCCTTGCAAATATCTCAATGTGGCAGTGTGTAGCAGCTGAGCCCTGCTTGCTTTGTGAGTCCTTTTATCCCCATCTGTGCCATGCATGTTAATAGTTTGGTTCCTAGGCTGTCACTACCTTTGCTAGCGTTTGGGGCTTCTGTTGTATTTGGTTTCATATTGTGATTTTCTTTTTCTTTCTTTCTTTCTTTCTTTCTTTCTTTCTTTCTTTCTTTCTTTCTTT